TAAACAGGAAAGGTAACAAAGCATGATGACAAAATAGTATCTGATTAAATATAAGCAACTTAGGAAGCCATAGTTTGCTGGACTGGTGAATTGACTTCTAGTCTAGGTCGTTTCGACTTTTACGTTCATATTATTTACAAGCGTATCAACATACAAACATTATGGATGTGCGATTGATCGAGACAGGCATTTTTTATTTTTTTTTGTCTGTCTAATAAATGCTGTTTCTTGTACTGCACTGTGCGTGCAAATAATTTGAAAGTCTGGATGATGGAGTTTGCAATCTTGAGTTCGTAGGGTGGTGGTGGAAACATTTTCGTCCATGTATTCATGGGGCTGCACTGGCAAATCATGGGACAAGTGTCACAGGAACACCAAGCAAATTGTTCACAGATTTCCGTATAATTTGAAATAAAACTATCATCCGAACAAGGGGTATCGTCGACGAGATAATCTCATCACTCACACTGTACTGATCTGAATCCCCGGTCTGAATCTTCACAGTATACTGTACTTCCCTGATCTAAAGCCCGGAGGCATGAACACGTAAGGGAAAAGTAAGGGATGAGCTTATACTCGAGGACCAACTCAGAAAAGATGATTTTTTTTTTAATTCCGCCCTACATACATCTGATTAACAATGCAAACTGATTTTAAATTGTATAACGGTCACCGGCCCACGGCATCGACGAAGAAAATTGAAGCAAAAAAATATTTCCTGATCAATTGCGATGTGTTCTATATAAAAATTATTTTATTCCAGTCCAAATCAGCTCAATTACTTTAATAAAGAGTTATTGTATAATGTACAAAATGTTGATACATTTTGATGAATATTTACAACTACTGCTTCAATACCGTAGATGATTTTGGCCCGATCGTCAACAAAACATCACCCATCTCCAGGGCAAACGACTGGAAAAAGACACCAGTGTTCGGTCGAACCGGTGGAAACAAAATCGTCACTCCCAGAATAACTACGCAAAATAACGATCTAAACTCGAACCATTTGAGCCACAATATAAACATAAAAATGACTTTCGTTGCATTTGACAATGATAAACTTACCGAAAAGGAATGTTTTTCTCGGTCGCTAACGTCGGTATAATCCGCCATTTTATTCGAGTGTGTTTGCCACTTGACTCTGCCCGGTGACATCATCATGTGCGCTATAGAAGGAGGTCTGTGATTTGTTGACTAAAATCGTCGATAGTGGGTCTCGTTGAAATCTCGTTACATAGGCATTGGGTCAGATGTATGTAGGGCGGAATTAAAAAAAAATCACAAAATCAAAATCACAGTAAAATAATAAAATAAAAGGCAGTAATAACAAAAGTAATAAAAAATAAAATTAAAATAAGTTTATAGCCAAAATAATTAAAGCCCGTACACTACATCAGATTTTAATTAGATTGCGTTTTGGTATGTTTTCGATCGTATGCAAACTCTCAACGCGAAGCAATTTTTCACCATGTGGTCTTTCAGCACGATTTGACCTGAAACAACTTCCTTTGACCAAACAGGTCATGTCTTTCATTAACCAATCAAAATGATGTGTCGTAATGATGAAATTTTCCGATTATTGACGATGATTTTTTAACGCAATGCGGAAGTGAATTACCGCAACGTTAAATGCGAGCTGTAGCACTGATTGCAACGAAAAACAATGATTTTTTCTCCAAAAACTGGCGATTCGCAATTTCCGAAAAGTAAACGACGGTTAATAGTAACCGTGGGTAGACTAAGTGTGGAGGAAGAATTTAAACACCTTTCACGGTCACCAACATGTCACATCCTTCAAACCCTAGGCCTTTCATGATAGTCTCAAAGTAAACCATGCCCAATAACCAGGTACACGACTTAACGATCACATTTTTGGCTTTTCGAAAGCTACTTAAGGATGCTGTACACGTTTTTGGTATTGATTTTCTAAACTGATATTTTCATATAAAATATTTACTGAACCATACAAAGCTATATATTGATGGAAAGCTTATTTCACACTGGATATGAAATCGACAAGATAGTTTGTGTATGGACGTGTATAA